GGGGGGGGGTGTCATTATTTAATGCAGCTGGTCCTGAGGTCAGCCATGGCATTACTTACCCGATTTTGCAGCTTTTCTGGGCCTGGAGCTGAAATACAACTGAGGTCTAGATGTTACCTCTAGGGAGGAGAGGTCAGGGGGTCCAGACCTATGACCACCTATATCCTAGGAAAGGAAAGGTCACCCTGGGGACAAGGTCCCACCCTACAGTTGTCTTTTGCTAGGCACCCAGGGCTTTCCACTTTGGTGACCTTCTGTACCTGGGCCATCATCCTTGCTCTGCTCATATATGTCTACCTGCCTACCGCAATTTGGTTCAAGATTTGAAAATAGAAATATATTTTATTATGTATTTAATTCTGTACATGAATCAGTGAACCCAGCAGTGTGGCCAAAAAGCACAAATGGATCAGTAAAAATTGAAGCAATACTTTTTCATGTATTGGACTAGCTATATTTTGTTTATGTATTGAGTTATCCTAATTATTGTCGATACAACCCAGGAGAATCAGTACTTTGATTTATTTGGTAGAAAGGATTCTTAGATTTTGTGGATTATTGGGTTGGATAACTAACTAATTATCTTCCAACACAGGTTCTGTGATTCTGTTCAAGGCCAGCTAAGGTTTTTTGAATGATAATAGCACTCCCATCTCCTCAGGGTTGTGTGTTTTTTGGGGAAGGGAATCATAAGAAATTAAAATTCCCTTCTTTGTAGGTCAGAATATAGCTACCATATAGGGAACACTTCTTATATATCTTCCAGGTCTATACTAAGCTGTTTACATACATTATTCTGTATTATGAGCCTATGAGATAGCTATATTGTGGTCCTTATTTTGCAGATGAGGAAACTGAAGGTGAAACAGGTTAAATTACTGACCTAAGGTCAGGTAGCTAGTAATTATAAAGCATGATTACTGCTCTTGGGGATTTTAGTTTATGATAGTTGAAATTGAGGAAAGGAATAGTGTTGAGTAATGGAAAGATCACTGGAAGTAGAGACAAAAAGCTTAATTTTGTCTCTGCCCCTTGCTTGCTAGATGACCTTGGGCAAGTTAATTGACTTCTCTGAACCTTATGTTTCTTAGCTGTGAAATGTTAGATATATGTATATGCATGCCATCCTTACCTTCCTCATAGGAAGTTCTGAGAACCACAAACAATAATAATATGTGAAAGCATGTTATTTTTTAAAAAAATGTGTTAAAAACTGCTAAATGTTGAAGTAATTGGGGTTGTAAGGACAGTGGAGGGGGAGAAGGGAGACTCTCCTAACTTAAAAGTTGGATTGAGGAGAATGGGAATAATTGGACTTATTTTGTATATTTGTGTTATAATTATTAAATTCCTAAGGCTGCTGCTCAGAGTTAATTCTTAATTTTTTTATCTTCATATAGTAAATATCCAGAATAGTTAGTTGAATGTTCTGGTTAACCTATTAAACTATGTAAGATTTGTCAGTATTCACATAAAGTTCAAAACATTTGCCATGTGTTATAAGAAAGCTGATTCCCCCTCTCTTGATATCTCAGAAGTTAAGAACCTGAAAGGAGTAATCAGTTTTAAATTTATTCACAGTACTAAGGTATTAACCTTATTTAATCCTAACATCAATCATTTAAGGGAATATTATTATTTATTACAGAAAAATTAAGTCACTTGGTCACACAACTAATAAGTGTCAGAGCTAAGATTTAAGCCAGGTATATCAGATTCCAAAGCTCAGGCTCTCTACATAGATGTGTGTATTCCAGTGTCACTAAATGGCTGCTCATATCATTAAATAAAATTTTGTGGAATTTAGCAAGATCAGTAGGTCCAAAAATCAGTTGTATTTCCATATCCCATAATGAATAAATGGAAAATGAAATATAAAAACCTATGGTATTTTCAGATACATCAAGGAACACTAAGTACCTAGGAATAAAATAGTACTGTGTAGAAAATGCTGGTTATTTGCACTTTCTTGGAGGTTTAAAATATCAGATTGTTGTTGTTGTTTTGATGCACTGATTTTGGTCAGTATTAAGCAATTTACTGTTTTATATCAATTTGCTTTTATTGTAGTTGATGCTGATGTAACAGTAGTAGGTTCTGGCCCTGGAGGGTATGTTGCCGCTATTAAAGCTGCCCAGTTAGGCTTCAAGGTAAGTGTTAGATTAAAACTAGGTTTTGATTAATTTTTATTTGGGAATAGTTGATCATATTCACAAAATACTTTGCAGGTAGATGCTAATGGTAAATAATTTATTAATTCTATACATTATATTTAAGCCTGAGACTAATGAAGAGAGGGTTCATTAGTTGTAGTATTCTAATGAAGGGTGGAAAGTGAAGTCATTATTTCCCCCCTTCTCTCAATGCTTTTCATTTTGGCTTCTAATCCCTCTTTGAAAGATACAGTAATAGAGCTAAAAGTGTGAATTTGGTAATGTTAAACAAACAAAAATATCTTTTAGAATAATTCACTTTTGGTGGGTTAACTTGAGTTTGGTATTCAAATGATAAGTTATAAAGGACTACATTTTATTCTCACAAACACAGCTTGAGTAGCTTGTTTTTAGAAGGAGGAGAAATATATTTGGAATTTTAGTCAACTAAAACATTGCAGCTTATGTGCAGCTAATGTTTTCTTTGGTTGTAGACAGTCTGCGTTGAGAAAAATGAAACACTTGGTGGAACATGTTTGAATGTTGGTTGTATTCCTTCTAAGGTGAGCATACATTTTTGTACAGTACAGAGATTTTTTTCATTGGCCACCAGTTAGATATATTGAGACTAGAATTATTAGACTAATAGTTATTAAAAAATAAACAACCCATGGGTGATATACACTTTTTTTTTTCCTCTGTAAAATTTAGAGTGCTCTTATCAGTCAGCCATACATTCCTGAAATGGCTTTCTTGTCTCAGAATACCTAGCCTTTCCAGTCAGCTAGACTCTGATGTTACTTTTTTTTTCCTCTTTAGCTTTCCTTTACTAATGAAACAGATAGTAGGTAGTAAATTCTTTTGGTTACTTTATGTATTTAGTAAACATGACTGACTTTTTCACAAGCCACCCTGAAATGTGTATTAATGCCTTTGCTTCTAAAGAAAGTAAAGATGTTTTGTTTTTATTATTTGTTAAACATTTTATGTCATTGTTTGTCTTAGACTAATTACAGGAATTGACTTGGTATAGTCCTATGTACTATTCCATGTACAGACTGTTATTTCATAAGTGCTTTTGAAAATTTGATAATTTTGTATTATGTCCTTTAGGCTTTATTAAATAACTCTCATTATTACCACATGGCCCATGGAAAAGATTTTGCATCTAGGGGAATTGAAAGTAAGTATACTTTCCATATTTAGTGATATTACTAGCCATACTTTACTTCTCTGGCTAAAGACTTATGTGTGTAATATGTGTTCAGTGAGGGAAGAGATCTTAAAAATATGGAAAGATTTACTTAAAAAAGACAGCTTAATCCAGATTTCTACCATGACATCTTCTTTTCCTTTGTCAACTTTTGTATGAAGTCTACTCTGTGTGTGAATGAGTGTGTGTGTGAAGAGTCAGTTTTCATTTTCCTGAAACTTGGAAATCATTGGGGTGGCCACAGGATTCCTGAGTGCTATGGACAGATGAAGGACAGAAGGTCTACCTAAATTGTTGGTAGGGGAAAGAGCTGAGGAGAGAGGAAGGGATGTGGCACAGTGGAAAAGGACATTTTCTTTCTTTGTAGCAGTAGGTTTTTGAAAGAATGGGCTATAACGTGGGCAATCCCTTGGGTATGGAGGGGGTGTATATACACTAAAGCCAATACTTTACTAAACTAGATGAAGAGTGGAATCAAAACCCATTTTCCTTACCTACTAAGGAAAGAAGAGACAGGATTAGTCAAGAGATGTGCATTGTAGGCAAAGATTCATGTTCTAGCTCTGTGATCTTAGATAAATCTAATTTCTCAGGATCTTTGCTTTCTCATCTCTAATATGTGTTTGTTGCGTGAGCTGATTTCTAAGATTCTGTCTTCTAAAGTTCTGAGTTGAACTTCTTTATCATCTTATATTGTTGCTTCAGAGTTCTCTTCTGAGTTGAATGATTAAACTCTTATATTAAGCTTCTGTATTTGAAGTTTTCTCATGTATATTTTTATTAGTTTTTATTTCATGAAATTTGGCATTTCCTTTTATTTAAAATTTCAGGTAATGTTTTACTTTGCCATTTCTACTTAAATCTCTTCCAGACTTAAGATCATAATGTGTTTGGAGAATATGTTGTCACAGTGGGAAATGTTTTATTTTGGATGGCATTTTCCCCATAGGTGGATTTTTTTATACTGTTTTATAGGTTATGTTACTATGATATGATGCTGTTGGCTTTTTGCCAGCTAGGATTATTATATTATTAAACGGAAAAATGTTAATATTGCCTTATATTACAGTTCTATAAGCGTTAGGCTGAAATTTTCTAGACTTTGATTAATGAAAAATATCACACACTGCTTCAAGAATTTAGCTAAGTACTAAAGATTTACTTAACAAATTACAGTGTCTGAAGTTCGCTTAAATTTGGAGAAGATGATGGAGCAGAAGAGTACAGCAGTAAAAGCTTTAACAGGTGGAATTGCCCACTTATTCAAACAGAATAAGGTCAGTGTATTTTATGTTCACATTTTTGCTTTATTTTATATATACATTAAACATGCTTTATGCTAATAGAGTGATGCTATTTGAACTTCGCTGCTGGATGATATTTAATTTAAAACAGTATGCTAACCTGAAATACATAAATGCTGCTCCATGTATAGCATTACTAAGTAAGGAAGCATTTTGTATTAGATAAATTATTTAATAGAGTAGCTTTTTGCTGTTAATCATGTTTGTTTGTCAAAAATTTATTTTAAACTTTGTGAATTTATGCATATTTTATAAAGGTTGTTCATGTAAATGGATATGGAAAGATAACTGGCAAAAATCAGGTCACTGCTACAAAAGCGGATGGCAGCACTCAAGTTATTGATACAAAGAACATTCTTATAGCTACAGGTTCAGAAGTTACTCCTTTTCCTGGAATCACGGTATTTATGCATTCTACAACTGTCAAAACCTTCGTTCAGAAGTATATTTTATAAACTACTTTATTTGTGCTGTTTAGGATCTTTGAGAGATTTCTTACTGAAATACTATATATGTTGACAGTCATTCAACTTTGGGAAGTTGCCTGTTTTTATTCTGTAGTGATTTGACCAGAAATAGAACACTTTACATTAAGATATATTTGAATTCAATATGAAGTTAAAGTTGACTATTTTGTTTTGATATGCTGAATGATAAAATTTTAAGTATTTTAATTTTTAGTTGAGTATATGGGTGGTAGTCGTAGATACCTCAAAACAAATAAATGACTTACTATAGCTAGTGATTATACTGCATGGGATCACAGTTTATAAATCTGTAGGTTTTTCCAAATAATTTTGATTATATATATATTTTTTAATAGATTGATGAAGATACAATAGTGTCATCTACAGGTGCTTTATCTTTAAAAAAAGTTCCAGAGAAGATGGTGGTCATTGGTGCAGGAGTAATAGGTGTAGAATTGGTAAGTGATGTCTTTCCTATGTCATATTATCTCCATGGGGTTGGAAGCAACTTAACAGTCCTATTTGATTTTTTGTATAATGTCACAGGCAGATCAGCATTGAGTTTGCTTAAATATTTCTAGTAGTAAAGAGTTTGAGACAACTTATTTATGTAATTATTAGTTATTAGAACATTCTCTTTTATTTTAAAATTTGTTTCCTGTATCTTCCACCCTTCCTGTTCCCTAGACTGATTTTTTAAAAATCTTACAGTCCTTCAGCTATTTAAATCTGACAGCCCTTCAGGCCCTTCAGCCTTTGAGAAGGCAGTTCTCATTCTGAGCAAATTGTATTTCAGATAAAGACCATGACTTACATGATCTGGCTCTTCCCTTCCTCTGTATCCTTATTTCAGTCCCTCTTAACCTACATGTTAGAAATGTCAAGCTATTTGCCGTTCTCTGAATACAATGCTGTTTTGTTTGTTTTTTTTTAATTTATCTTTCTTGTTGAAAGTATTACAGGTGTCCCATTCCCCCCCCCCAATTGACCCCCTCCACCTCGCTCCT